ATTTTTTTTCAACCTGTCCTGTTGAGACTGAATGTGGGAGCCACTCGCCGTCTTTTCACCTACTAACTGTGATTTTTCCTTTCATCAGTTAGTATGTGTCACAAAAGTCTTAATGTCTTAAAATACAGTTGTCAGAGTGTGAGAACGTACAGAGACTGAGTACACAGAGCTATTGTAATTCCTCGCCTTCTTATGTGAAACCCAGTTTATATGAAAACACTTCAGTAAGGTGGAGTTTTTCAGATAATGCCTTAAAAAAAAGGACTTTGTACTCTGAGATATTTTATAAAGAACAGTTTACCAACCTTAGATGTTAAAAGGACAAAAGAGAGTAGGATTTAAAATCATGCCGGTAATTAGGAGGTTTGGTATCTGTCTGAAAATTATTTTGTGACATCACAAAACCCCGAAAGTTAAAAAACACATTTTTTTAGTCATAGATTCACGAATTTGCTGCCTGCACATGATGCGAGTAAACCAGCCTATAATGATTAAAATGGAAAGGCGGAAAATAAATCCAACTGTGAAACGTCTAACTCGACTGTTGAAGAGGATAATGATAATATCATCTCCAGGTCCACGGAGGCCCTAATAATTAAGGCACCAGGAAGCAAGGCTGGGCATTTATAGACGATCAATAGCCCACCCTCCAGTTCTATGAGCTAACCTTGGATTCATACCCTGACTTTGAGATCTCCGAGAGAACATATCTTTTTATAAACAACCACACGCCATAACTTAGCATTGTGGATACAGAGTGTTATATCACAAACTAAGTGAATTAAAACATCACCTAGCAGATGTAGTGTAATGGGCGGAATCAATATGGCCCCTAATTAAGGAATATTACGTAATGCGACGACGTAAATACCACACACAACACTGAGTACAGCGCAGTGCTCTTGCAGCCGGTTGGTTTCATTTCCTTAATTCACAGGCAGTCTGTCACTTGCCATGAAATCTAATTCTCTGAAACTGTCTAGTACTGGAGAAAATTCACACATGATGAACACTAATGTACCATTTAAAAGCAATTTGAATTATTTTGTTCAAAGGGGATGAATAACGTACGTGGACTTTTCCAATCTGTACTCATACAAAAGCAGTTTTTATTTATTTTGTTGCTATAACTGACGTACAACATTGTATTAGTTTCAGATGTACAACACGACTCTCTATTTGTGTATGTTGTGAAACGATCACCACAATAAGTCTACTGAACATAGTTAACAACTTTTTTGTGTGTGTGACGAGAACTTCTAAGATCTACTCTCTCACAACTTTCAAATAACAATACAGAGTTATTATCAACTCTGGTCACCATGCAGTAATTGCATCCCGCGACTTATTTATTTTAAAACTGGAAGTTTGTACAAAGGAATTCTTCCTTCCTTCTTTCCTTCCTCCCTCCCTTCTCCCCTCCCTTCCTCTCTTCCCCTCTCTTTCTTTTTTTTCTGGAGTCATTTGCCAGAGTTAACCTAAGCAAAATTTATGGCCTTTCATTTTGTCTTATATTATCCCAAATTATCCTATGCGAAATTTTAGCATTTGTCTTCTTGCTCCTTTCAAATACAGCTAGTGTGAAATGTCCTGCCACGGAATCCTCTACTTTTCCCTGTTGTGCATCTTCTAATTCACTGGAATTGCTCACTTGAATCCTGTCTTCCCTTGCAATGCACAAGCTCTGGGAACAACAACTGTGACTGTCTCTTTTGCTCAATGCTGTACTCTCTGAACTGTGCTCTGTGCATGGCACATAAAACATGCTCAATAAGCAAACACGGAATGAACAAACACTATGCACTCAAAGGAGGACTAAGGAATAGATTCCTTTCATAAAATCCAAACAACTAAAAACACAAATAACTAAAGACAGGTATTTCTATCATTCCTTTAGAGGATACTTTGATTTTGCTACAAATACAAGTGCACAATCTTGAATTGCAAAAAAACCCAAAAAACAAAAAAACAAAAAGAGTGAACTCATAGTTACTGACATATATCAACTACTTACTATGTTCCAATCCCTGCTTGGCATCCTACATGCATTATCTGACTTAAACCTCATTACTACTCTATGAAGAAACACGAGGTTAAAGAAGGTAATTTACTTAAAGCCACCCACAACCAATGGCACAACTCCAATCCTTAACCACACTGTACTGTACCAACATTTGCTCTGTGTATAGTCTATGCAAGGCAGTGTGTTGGGCCCTTTATATACTTTATAGCATTTAGTCATTGTACTTTTATTCATTCATTGGACGAATACTTGTGAGCACCTTGTGTGCCTGTAACTGTGCCGAGGACTTGTGGCAGAGAGGTGGAAAAATAGACCCCACACTTCTGACAGCTCATCTCTAAAATCTGGAGTCAAAGAAGGTCTCAGGAATAATCAGGAAAGAATCATGGCAGGTAATAGACATTCTTCTTTTAAATACTAAATACCATTTTGCAGCTTTAGCTCAGTATTAACTTAAAACCAAGCGAGTTTACTGAAGCCTTGGCACCACGATTGCAATTATAAAGTAAGAACAAAAGAGGACTGCATAAATAAGACTACTGCATTTAGAAGCTGTGGAGTTGTTTTCCCATTATGCTGAGCACGGTTAATTCTCCCAGTGAGTGTCATTGAGAACTGCAAGGCTTTCTTAAGGGGTGGAATCTCCTGGAATTTCTAAAGAGACGATGTGATCTGCTTCTCTGAGGTAGGAGATGAGGGTGCATGGACTCTGCCAGTTCATCATGGATGCTTAAGAGCCAGTGTTTTTAAGGTACTTCCCTTCTTGCAAATAGACCCCCACTGCCTTGCCCTCGGCACTCCAAGACTGCAAGTATTTAAGAGATACACACTGAGAACCTTTACTTGCAAAAACGAACATAAAAATTCCTTCAAAATTAGGGTTTTTTGGGCTACTTGAAAAAATAATAAAGACAAGTGACTATTTTTTAGGTCACACTTTGGACAAAGCCTGAGCCCCGAGACAAGCCTTCTTTCCAAAAAGAGAAATTTCGACAACCCCCCCCCCCCCCCGCCCCGGTCAGCTGGCAGGCTGCAGGGTCGGTCCTTCTCCAGGACGTCTAACCCCGTCTGGGGCGTCAGTGAGCTTCCCCTTATGCGGGCGGCTACGAAGGCGGTCCTTCCCCGACACGGGACACAGCTGCTCCACCAGAGCATCAACCGTCCCCAGGGCGTTCTGTGGTCACGCGGGGACTTTCGGAGCCATGTTTTTGAAACTGTGGGCCACCATCCTTTGTCAGTTGCGAAATTATCCGCATCAGTTTCAACTAGTATTTGTTGTAATTGGGAAATACAACAAAACACAGTAGAAAATGCCAGGAACCAGCCCCGAGGCTGGGGGTGGGTGAGGGCGGGGTGTCTCCGAATCCAGAGCTTTCTCAGTCTCGTGCTTTTCCGGTCCTGTGACAGTAATCAGCCACACTCTATTTTCATTTTCATCATAATAAAAGTTGTAAAATAAACACCTACAATAAGCATTTTCCTCTTCAGTCTGTAAAAAAGCTCCCTGAATGTGTGGTTACGAAGCGCCATTTGACCATCTTCGCAGAAACTATCCGCTTTAAAAGACAGTCTAAATTCCAATCTCTATAAACCAAAAATAAATACTCTTAATTTTGGTGCAGTTATTGGATCTGTTCATATATGTGTTATCAGTGCATAGAAAAATTAAACAGTTGTTTCAAGTAATTATATTTCACTTAATTGAAATTTCCCACCAACAGTTTTAATTAGGAAAGCTTTTCTTCACTCCTCTTTAATCCACTGTGCAGTGACTTCCACGGTCACTGTCATCAGTCACCAGATTAGAGTTTTTGGGAACACAGAGGACTTTGTATCAAAAGATTCCATACAGGGATGGGGCTGGCGGTATTTATTACTATTATGAAAACCTAATGTCTCAAAAAAAAAACCTTTCAGCCTCCCCAGGAAGGAAGAGGAGTGTCATAATGTATTACTGTTAAAATAAAATAGGAGATGGAAAAGCAAAGAACCAAAAAAAAAAAAAGGTAAAAGCATTAGTCACAGCATTAGTTACAGTATGTGTAAAATAGCAGCATAAATATAAATATAAAAACATACATTACATATAAACATATAATCACTTTTTTCTAGTCTGGCGAAGAAACTAGCCACACGAGAATGAACATACTTGAGGCCAAAGCAGAACAAAAATACACTAGATTAAAAAACAGAGGGAGAAATGCTAGGGAAATGCTTCAAGGCAAACAATGTATTTCTTATGTGACAGAAAAAGGTATCTTGATTTGGTTGCTTTGAGATATAAAGTATTACGACATTCTGCAAAAAGTCAGAGGATGCCAAATGCCAAGACATACATACAAGCACATGCACATATAAAAAAAATAGACAGATACATAATATAAACACGCATATGTGTGTACACACTTCTCTGGGTGTTTATATGGAAAAAAATGAAATACAGCATTCTTTAACCTCTTAAATTCCATTTTTAAATTCACAGCCAATTGACTTGAAAGTCTGTTGGTTCAAAGTGCACACTCTTGAAGGTTTCGAGAAAGGACAAGCAGAGGAAAGGTCAATAATAAATTATAATCCTTTAATGTTTTACATGAAAAAGCTTTTATAACAAAATGAAGATAGTGTTCCAACTCCACACACTAGCTGAATGAAGAAAGCTCAACATATCCACGGTAATGTAAGCGATGATACACTGAATTATAACCTACTTACAGACTAAAAATAAAATGAAATGCACATTTGCAGGAAGGAAAAACCCAGTCATCGAATCAGAAGGCAGCACACTATACTATTCTTATAATAATGTGAATTTTCAATCTTTAAAGGAAATGAATAAAAGCCACTCATTAAAAGATTGGTATTTGTAATTCCAAAACCTTTTCCTTCTCCCATATAAAACTTGATATAACACGGGTAGAAAATTTATGGAAAAGAGATGTTCAAAGAAAAACACAGGACACAGAAGTCTTTCTCTTACCATTGTCACCAGAAGGTAACGATACAGTGTTGGTTGGCATGGTGTCAGAATTCACTTTTCCGTTCTCAAATGTGTCATTTTCAGTCTGCTGTAACTGCCAGTTGAGGCCAAAGAGATGCATTGCTGGGGGAAAAAAAACACAAGTTGGTTAAAGGTCTCCCGCTTCTAGTGCCAATAGCGAAGGGTACCACATGTTTATAACAAGAGTCACATGTGAAGTTAAAATTTCCATGTTCTGAAATACCAAAGATAATTGCATAATAACAATCAGAAAGCAAACAGTCCTCACACAAATGCAATTTAGGTAGCAACGCGGTGCAACAAGGCAGCACTTGAGTTACGAGTGGCTGTAACTCAGTTCATTGGTACCAGGAATCTCAGGAAAGAGTCATTATTGGCTCCGCTTTGTTCCAGTCCTGCTCTTCACCACCATCGAAGTAAGTGGCAGCAAGCTCTACAGTGGCATCTGCCAAACTTGCATGACCACGGGCCACCTGCACACGTGTGGCACATTTCTCCAAAGAGGACGTTTACGTGGTAAACTTTGGTGACCAAAGGGGAAAGGAAGGGGAGAGGGGTAAGTTAGGAGTCTGGGATTTGCAGATACAGACTGCTACACAGAAAACCGATAAACAACAAGGTCCTACTGTACAGCGCGGGGAACTGCATTCAATAGTTTGTAACAACCTATAATGGAAAAGAATATGAAAAAGAATATACACATATTTATAACTGAATCACTCTGCTGTACGCCACAAACTAACACAACACTGTTAATGAACTATGTTTCAGTAAGAAAGCCCTTATTAAATAGCCAATATATAGTAACAAAACTAAACTGGCCCAGTGCAAACAGCAGGGGCTGTAGATGTGGTTGGATTTGGGTTCAATTTCAATCTAGGATTTAACTTTGGACAAATGATGTAAATGATTAAACATGAGGTTTACTTACAAGAGGAGGCTGGTTACACCTACCTTACTTAATCGATGGTAGCTTTCTGGCCAGTGTATATGAAGGAGGGCCGGCACCTAGCAGGCCAGTCTGTCGTTTACAGGTATTTTGTTTATCTACTCAAGACGGACTCTAGATTACTGGACCATTTGGAGTCACCTGACCAGAGCACGGAACCGCTCAATAAACAGTCCCTGCTGTCTGCAGCGCCCTCTCTCCATCCACCTGTCCTTCCCTCAGGCGGTCGGCGTCGACTTCTTGGGGAAGCCCTCCCTGGCTGGGTGACGCACCCCTCCCGAGACCGTTCATTCACGTGTCTCCTTTGCCTCAGACGGTGTCTCGCCAAGTATCTCGTCAAATAAACTAACTCTATTTTCTGAGGTTTTAAAATCTCAGACAACACTGTTGTGGATAAGAGTATAGTAATTTAAAGGAAAAGTTTATAAATATAAAACAAATGCATAAATGGCTAAGAATGGAACGTTACGTTATTAATAATGAGTTCAGGACTGGCCTTAGTGTACCACTATAGAAAAGTAGTTGAGTGCAAGTCCACTAGCACTGCATATAATTGATTGACTTTTTTTTTTCTTCAAAGAGTCAACAGTTTGGGGACATTCTATCATCAGTCTCACATTCTTTGGTTACCAGTACCTGATATGAAATCATCCTAAACGCCGATCCAAACATAGCTACATCCACCCCGTATAACTTGTATGTAACAAACGTATATATTCATACTCCCTGCTTAAAGTACAAGTTCTCCAGCAATTCCTTTTAAAGTCTGATTTTTTTTTCAAGGGTTAAGACATAGGTTGCAGAATTCTTCAATATACAAATTGTCAACTTGTAAAGAGGTATAACTTCGTATGTCATTTTGCATTGAATTATGCAGTGTTTGAGTGGCAGAGTGTCAGAAGCTTTCTAAACATTTATCACGTTCATACATTTTTCAAGGTTTCAGATATTTCAGCAATTTTTGAATAAAATCATGGGTGCCAGTTCTGCATATGGTTTGGAAAGTGTGCAGATTCACTCTGGTGTAGCAATGATAAATGTCCCAGAAGGGTCAAAGATTCTACACAAAATAATGTATCATCATTGTGAGCTTTTATGTAACATAAAAAATCTTCTTAAACGATACATGTGTTCACGTTATGGGTTTTAATAGACTTTGAAGAGGAAGGAGAGTTGGTGGGACCATGCACAGAGGTCAATGTTAAAAAGTAATGGCATGTTTGGGTTTGGAGAGCTATTTTATTTTTTGCCAGATGGGCAACAGCTTTATTATATATATATTTTTAGTACAAAAAAATCTCAATAAAACAGGATTTCGGTTCTACTTAAGATGGAGTATAATGAGAACCATACCAAGTAATAATGTATCTTGTTAAACACTGCATTGGAAACAAAGACCAAAAAGTTGTTTGGTCTTAGGCTGTTACGTACTTTGAAAATGTTGTTGTTTTGTATTTTGGTGCAGCTCTTGCCCCTTGTTATGTGTAACTTAAGATTTTATACAAATACAAGGTGCTAGTGAGATTGACTCCAAAGTTAAGGAGAGACAGAGACAGAGACAGTGACAAAGAAAGAGGGAGAGAAAGGAGGAGGAGGCAGCATACTCATAAAAGACAAAATGCTACAGAAATCACTGAGCACTGGGTGTAATAAAACCACATGGGATATCCTGGCAGACAAATGCAGGGAAAATCAGTGAAATAAAATACATCTGTAAATGAAGAAGACAAGATAACTCTTCCATGTCTGGGCTAGAAAGCAGAGGTGAACCCATGAGAAGGCACTTCCTGTCATTTTTTTCTTTTAATTTTAGTCTTTATTAAGTGTAGTTGATTTACAAAGTTAGTTCCAGGTGTACAGCAAAGCAACCCCATTATACGTATACATACATATATCTATTTTTCAGATTCCTTCCCATTATAGCTTATTACAAGGTATTGAATATAGTTCCCTGTGCTGAACAGTAGGTCCCTGTTTATCTATTTTATACACAGTCAAGGGGTAGAAGCAAGCCACATGTCCACTGATGGCAGAATCGATGAAGAAAATGTTGCATTACATACATATACAATGAAATATGATTCAGGCTCAAAAAGGAAAAGAAACCTTGCGGGCATTATGTTAAACGAAATAAGCCGGACACACAAAGACAGATACTGTTTGATTCCACTTACATGGGGCATCCGGGGTAGTCAGATTCATAGAGGCAGAAAACAGAATGGTTACTAGGGTCTGAGAGTGTCGGTAATGGGGAGCTGTTGTGCAAGATGAAAAAAGTTCTGGAGATCTGTTGCACAACAAGGTAAATACACCACAGACCCCATTAGCTCATCGGATGTGGTTGTCTACAATTTAGATCATAGTCTTAAAAATTTTTTTTTTACTATTATTTTGTTGTTTTGGGGGGGATTAGATTATTTATTTATTTATTTAAACGGAGGTGCTGGGGATTGAACCCAGGACCTCGTGCATGCTAGGCACGCGCTCTACCACTGAGTTATCCGCTCCCTGCTAGATCATACTCTCAATTTTCCCCGTCTCCTGCCTTTGTTCCTTACAATCCCTGGTTTCTGGGATGCCTCCCCCAAACTCTGTCTGCGGAAATCTTACCAACACCTTAAAGTCTAGTGGAAATGACATTTCTTCCTGAAGTCTTTCTGGCCTTACTACGTATTCTGTACGGCCATAGCACTTTGTATTATTTTACCTAAAACATCCCATCTTTAATTTGAGTAAATTTACTTTCTGTTGTGTAAGGAGTCGGGGGTTGTAGGAGAAGCCGAAATGGATCTTTGCAGCTAGAGGGTAAAAAACAGGTACGTCGATGGGACAAAGAGGAGTTTGGGGAGAAAGGGAATAAATGTAGAGGATGTGTGCTGTGGAAAAATGGGAGAGGATAGTTATGGGAAAAGTTTAATACGGAATTCAGCTTTTTCAATATTTTGCTTAGAGCTGAACTTAGAGGCTGCCTCTCTCTAGCTGAATTGGTTCCTGAGAAACAGGGGTGACTAACAGAGAATTTGAGCCTGGTGGCAGTCATGAATAGCCTTGGAAGGCACCCAGTATGAGTCCTCCCTTTTCCCAAGGGCAGAACACAGACTTCTAAGATGATTCCCAGTCAAAACCCTTTTAAATTGGTTGTAATATCTGACATTTGTCATCCACAAAATGAATGAGCATACTTTTTATACTTTCACCCAAGTCAATGATAAAAAACATCATGACATCCACTCTAGAATAACTCACATGGGTGTTAAACCATCAATCAGTTTTGCAACCTGTGCTTCTAACAGCCCAACAGTCTGCTCTAAACTGCATCTTTTTAGTTTTTTTCATGGTATTCTTAGATTGTAACCAATTTCAGGATAGTTAAAATTAAAATATTTCTTATGCAATTCAAAAGCATTCATTCTATAGCCTCTTATTTTTTTCTTTCTTTAATTGTCAAGGGAAAAAAAACTCTCATTAGTTGAAATAATTTTGAGACTAAATGCTGGTAAAGATCTATCAGCGAAATTTTATGAAGAAATTCTCCTTCGGGCTCAAAGACCATGTGAGTGAGAGAAATTATAGCATACGCTCCTTTTATTTTTCAAGGCTGATGGAGACGAAAGGAATCCATGGTATGATAGTTATCTCACCTCCCTCCCAAAGAAAAAAGGGCATGGCATTGTTTTTAACCAATATATGATGGTTTGATACTTAGAAGCCAGCATGTGGAACACTGGAAACCAAAATGTTGTAATTAAAGAAAATTATACACCACCAAGGAGCAAATTCCGTGCCATTTTTAGTTCCTTGTTGAGAGAAAAGGGGCCAAATTTTGATCTGGTCTCTGGGGACGATGCCACTGAAGTTCTTATCACAGCTACTATTATTTCCACTGGCATGCCCGCGCCCTCAGACACTGCCAAATTTGGATGGGAAGGAGGGGTGGCGACAGCTGGTGACACGGTCCAGCAATCTGCCAGAACCTTGGAGCAAATTACAGGGGATGTTGTGAAGCGAACACAGAAGCGAGCACCCTTGCCATCAGAAACCCGAAAGCAGCTTGCGCCACCAGAACCCTGAAGAGCACACTGTGAGGTTTTGGCAACCTAGAGTCTAGTGCTTAGCATGCCTGCCACTATTGGCTAAATGCTATTTACTATTA